AATAAGCTTGAAATGCGAATAAGAAGACCCTAATTACATTTTTACAATAAGGAGACCACAGTTCATCGTTCCATTTTTCAAAACATGCTTATCGAAGCTAAATCTGCCAACAACTTAACAATTTTCGTACTCATGATGTATTGTCTATTAAATAATCAGCAAATATAAGCTACAGAAGCGTAAAAAGCCTAGAAGAAGAAGAATGAATCCTCCAAACCACAAATTTAGAAAAAATCATGTAAATTTAGGTGCTCTGAGAGTGACATATACGAGCGTCAATTTTGACATAAAATTGAGTCATAATAGACTCGAAATTCAGCTCAATCAAACGTACTTTCGAACTTTTCAGTCTCGGAGCTCTTAATTTTACATGACATGTTTGTTTACGTCTCATCCTTTATGTCAAAGATGGATTCCGTCACGTGTAAGATTAGGTATTTCTAAGTGTGCATGTTTGGAGCTGTTCATAAGCCACACGTACTAGGCGGGTAATATCACAGGTGGGCAGGAGCTCACGGTATCCCAGTGTTGGTGAGTTCTTTGCCGTTAATGTTCACGAAAAGTGCACTATTTTGCCATACAGAAATTCAAAACAAAAAATTTGATGGGCGGATTTGGACAGTTTTTGACCTGCTTCATACGACCGGAAGGTGTATGCTGGTCACAAATGCCGTGCCAAACTGATTTCCTACGCAATTAATCAACCTTTGATGTGAATTTCGCTAATAAACACGAGGAGCATTTCTTATAGCAAAACTTGCCATAACAAAATGGGCATAGTTCAATTTATTAAACAAACTAACACTTCTTCCTACTGTGTCACCTTTGTATTACCCGCCTAGAGCCACGTAGACAGTTCCGGGCAATCGTGGCATATGGTTTGTTTGTTGGAATCAGCGTTGCCAGATTGTTTTAAAGCTTGTCGGTATCGAAGGTTTTAAAAAGTCGGTATTTATCGGTATTTACTATTTAATTAATTTTATATGTTTGCCGTTTTTGAAAGCAAAAATTTTAACAATGGTGACGACTGGGATTTGAAAAGAATGACGTTCTCAGCCTTAAAACACTCTTTATTTTATTAATTTAATTTTTAAAATTATCGTTGTCCTCAAATGTTGATCGAAATTGTGACCAAGTAGTTTTTTTCAATTAAATATCATTAAATCAAACCAAAATATTGGAAAATCAGCTACAACAACGACTAAACTATTGACAATAACGACAAACAACATTTTCCTTTGAAAAAAGCTACAACCCATGGCCGAAATGTTGGGCAGCTTACATCGTAGCCGTTGCAGTGTTTAAAACGCTGTCCAGACTGAGCAGTTATAACATGTTATAACGGTTGTCAATTAATTGCAACACAGAAACCACCATCAAGATAGCGCTATAACATGTTATAACTCTAACGTACTATTATGGTCAAACTTCCAGAAGAAAACGAAAGAAACTTCTTGGAGAATTAATTGAACTTCCTGGGGAAGACGAAAGAAACTTCCTGGAGTCGTAGAAACTTCCTAAGGTAGATTGGAAGAAACATCTGAAGAAAGTGGACATGGAAGAAACATGGACAAAATTCCAGAAGCAAGAGATTCCTGGGGGATGTTCTAATGATCCAGAAAATTTTCATGATATTCATAAAACATCCCTGAAGGCTTCGCAATTTTCCTGAATTGTTCGGAATGTTCCTGAAATGCACTTAGGAATATTCCATAATTCCTCGAAATTCCTCAAAAGTTCTTGTAATTTTCCTGAAATTATGGGCTGTTTTGGAGTTCTCTGGTCATCCTCGAAGTGCTCGGAATTTCCCTGATTATAATGAGGATACCGGAATATCTCTAATCATCTTTGAAGGTCTCTGGATTTTCTTGAAGATTACGAAATCTCTTTAGCGCTCTCACATTTTTTTTTTTGAATTTATTGTGACATCAGCATTGAAGCTCTCTGATCTTCCAGATTTTTTTTTTAATTTTTAAAAGTTATCGACACTCCCTAATAAAAATGACCATAAAAGAGAGCTTAACGACGTGTTCGGGGTATCATCCAAACCATTTGTGGGATAGTTTTCCCATCCGGGATACAGTTCGTTTATGGTATTTGTTTTTTTAGGGCTGCCATTAAAAAAGCATAGAACTTCCCATAAAATGTTCTCACAATGTTCTAATGTTCATGTAACTTCCCTTACGTTTCCTAAGTTTGCATGAGTCCCTCAGGACATTACTTAAGTTTTCGGAAATCGCCTGTGTTTCTCGGAAATCCTTTATAATTTCAGCAATTTCATTGAAATACATTGATCTGTCCTGATGTTCTCTGAGCTTCACTAAAGTTCCTGAAAACCATTAAATTTCCCTGAATTTTTTTGAACTTTTAAAAGTTTCCATAATAAAGGGTGATACGGTCAACATTTGGTCAAGGGAAACGCGTGTAAATCGGTGAAATCGTTTATTTAAAAAATCAAATTAAATTTCTTTTTCAAGTTCAATTAGTATAAAATTCAGGAAAAATATTCAGTTAGGCTTCCGCTTTTCCAAATCCGAATTGCCGGGCCTTACGCTTGACCCCTGCCATCAGATTTTGTACAGCCACCTTGTCCACCTTCTTCGCCGCATAAAGCCAGTTTGCCTTGAACTGCTGCTCGCCCTTAGCAGTTTTTTTGGTCTTCTTTAGGTTCCGCTTGACAATAGCCCAGTATTTCTCAATTGGGCGGAGCTCTGGCGTGTTGGGAGGGTTCTTGTCCTTGGGAACCACCTGCACGTTGTTGGCGGCGTACCACTCCATGCCCTTTTTACCGTAATGGCAAGATGCCAAATCCGGCCAAAACAGTACGGAACAACCGTGTTTCTTCAGGAAAGGCAGCAGACGTTTATTCAAACACTCTTTCACGTAAATTTCTTGGTTGACAGTCCCGGAAGCTATGAAAATGCTGCTTTTCAAGCCACAGGTACAGATGGCTTGCCAAACCAGATATTTCTTTGCGAACTTTGACAGTTTCATGTGCTTGAAAACATCTGCTACCTTTCCCCTTCCTTTTGCCGTATAAAACTCCTGTCCCGGAAGCTGCTATTTGACGTAGGTTTCGTCGTCCATTACCACGCAGTCAAACTTCGTCAGCATCGTCGTGTACAGCCTCCGGGATCGCGCTTTGGCCGTCGTATTTTGTTTATCATCGCGATTTGGAGTCACTACCTTCTTGTAAGTCGATAGTCCGGCTCGTTTTTTGGCTCGATGCACGGTTGTAGACGATAAACCCAGCTTATTTGCGGCATCTCGGAGAGAGAGGTTAGGGTTTCGCTTGAAACTACCGGCAACTCTCTTTGTCGTCTCAGCGGCTTCCGGTTTTCGATTTCCCCCCGATCCAGACTTCCTGGCTGTCGACAAACGTTCCCCAAACACTTTAATTACATTTGTAACGGTTGATTTGGCAACTTTTAGCAATTTTGCCAACTTTGCGTGCGAGTAGCTCGGATTTTCGCGATGCGCGAGCAAAATTTTGATACGCTGCTCTTCTTGCTTGGACGGCATTTTGACAACTGAAGAGTGAAATCCAAAATCAAAATAGGAGCAACATTCTACACACACACACCTTCAAAATGAGGGGTGTTCAGGTTTTTTAAATGCAAAATTGAAAGAAATACGTCAAGTTGATATTGACCAAATTTTGACCGTATCACCCTTTATATATGATGTTTCCTTAAGTTCACTGGAGATCGCTGGACTTTTCTGAAATTTCCGGGTTTTCGAATTTTAACAGAAGTTTATGAAACTGTCTTTAATTTATCGAAACTTACTCAAAAGTCTGGACTTTTCTGAAGCTTCAGAACTTCTTAAATGTTCCTGCAGCTAGTGTGGATCCGCAATGAAAATCTGATAGCATCCTTGAAGTTCCGGGAAAGTTGAAAAAACTGGCTAGATAAGATTAAAGAATCATTCGAGCGAAGGCTGAAGAAACTTCCAAGGTATGGTGGCAGAAAATTCCAGGGAAAGTTGTATGAAGCTTCACGAAGTTTTAAACAACATATTTCTAGATTCCATATGAATTACCGGAAAGGGCCATCGACTTTTTCTCGATTGATGGGTAGCCAATCAAAAGGAGGAAATGCAACCCGTAGTCGAAATAGTATCAAGGATAAGGCATGATTTTTTTAAATTTTGAACGCTAAAAAAATATGAGGTATTCAAAAAGATACAAGTTTTTCACAAAAATTTTCTCAAAAATTCGAGCGTGGACAGCCCTAATAAACAAATACCATAAACGAACTGTATCGTGGATGGGTAAACTATCCCACAAATGGTTTTGATGATACCCCGAACACGTCGTTAAGCTATCTTTTATGGTTATTTTTATTAAGGAGGCAATACTCATTTTTATTATTAAAATATAAATATATTAAAATATAAAATATTAAAAATCGGTATTCTGAGGAACCTTATCTGTATACCGGTATCTAGTTAGGAAATCGGTATAGATACCGATAAATCGGTATGTCTGGCAACGCTGGTTGGAATGTTGAAATAATTTGTATGGAAGAGTCTGAAATCTCAAAAGAGTCTGAAATCTCAAAAATCAGTCTACGTAGTATATGACCTGCCCCTTAGTACGTTTCTGTTTCCGACTCAAGTGTAGCAACTCCGAGCTGTTAGGTACTGCAAACCGAAGTATTGTCAACAAATCGACTGAACTGTGAGATTACAAAAGTGAAACTCCCACACACACACAAACAACAGCCGCGCCCAAGTGAGCTATTCCATCAACAATAGTGCACCGTGTAGTATCCTGCAAACGACGAGCGAATAACGACGGAAAAAAGGACAAGGATGTTGCTCATATACTTATAACCAACCATAAAATTCATCATCCACTTCCACCAGTGCCACACGGCAAGGACGCCATCGACGACGACAACAAGTGCACTTTCCCCTCCCGTCTATACCGACAGTTATCATTGCCATCAATATTGCAATTTTACGGCGAGGACGGCGACGAAGTCGACGACGACGACAACGACAACGACGAATGATGAATGCCAGCAGCTTCTGGGGCACCTTCGATCTGTTGCTGGGCCGGGAAGCACAGAAGCACGGCGGCCAGGATGCGCTCAAGGTCGGAACGTGGATGTCGGCGTACGCCGGGGTGCGGAAACATGGCGTTGGGCACGGGTGAGTATTAATTTGCTTTTCTCATTTTTTTTAATCGTTCATCAAAGCCATTGTTCACAGCACCCCTTGGGGTTTTAATGAGAAATTGTGGGTGGCTGGCGGTAGTCATTAATCGTTCACCTGCTGCGCAGGTAAATGTAACGATAGTTAATAATTACTTTGCTTAATGGCTGGGGGTGTGACAGGCAGTCAGTTTGTTTATAGAGCAGCGATAATTTGACGACAGGTTTGTATGTCTTTTATTAATATTGGACATTTTACCTGACACATTTCGTTTGATTTGTCTGTGCACCAAATAGTCACGCTAGGCAAACAGAGGGGGGAAACGTTAAATGTGACACTTGTTAGGTGGGTAATTTAGGTAATTGCTGTTTTATGTGTGATGAGGTCAAGAACCTTAGAATGATCTTGAATAATTGATAGTATACATGCTTCCAATGTGTTGCTGCTGTTCCACAAAATTTGAGCTAATTTCGTTGATAGCTTCCAATGACTCAAACACTTTCTCCTTGGATCATATATCTTACTGACGCCTTACTGCAATACGCGATAGCATAATAATATGCGTAATACACATTTTCCCGGATATCATTTTCTTTCAAGGAAGACTGCATAACAAATCGGGAAAATTTTGACTAGTTCAACACCAGAAAGTACTTGAAACGTTCAAGGATGTAGAAATTGTATTGCCACTTTCAATGTTCATTTCCACCGGGGGGAAAACTTTCTTCCGAAGACCTTCCCGGGCTCCACCATGCATGTTCAATTTCACGAACAGCTCCCAATTGATAGTGACTCGCGAGAATCATTGAAACAAATAAATACGCCTTTTGCGAGGGTTTTTTAATGAGTGACACATCTGTGTCATTGCTCGGGGGTTGCTGCAAACAAATACCTATGTATTGTGATAGCGTGCTAACTGCAAGGGTGTTGTGATTGTCCAAAGGAGCGTACAATTGCTGCTGTGCTAACCTAAATTTCTTTGCAAGTTAACTGGAACCCGTCACTTCCAGGATGGAACATTACACAACCTTTGCTATCAGTTCAAACAATCAACAATTCAGCTCATTCTACCCAGAGTTGCTATTTTTATTGCTTCTCACTTGTCACAGGCTGCTTGCTTGGTCGTCGTGGCGGAATGAGGGTACATTGAACCGATTGTGGTAGGATATTCTATGGTATTCCCGAGAAAGCTTCATTCTTGTCTTGGATGGGAACAGTTACCAGCCGCGTGCCTACCGATGGCACTGGGGGAGGTGGTGGTTGGCACGTTGCGGTTTGTTATGTGGCGTATGATGGCACTATACAGCAATTGTTATCTTGTCTCGTCGCCAAAACGTCTCGAGCGCACGCGACTGCCATAAATCAGTGGCACATGGGCTACCCGCCCCCAAACAAACGGGTGATAGGCTGGTGGAAAATGTCTGCTCTAGGTTTAGTGCTGGGCCATAAAATTGGTCGATGCTGCGGCTTTGAGTTGAAAATTTTCCTCTCCTACACCATCGCATGTTTGTGCCTGGGAACATCGACCACCAGGACAGTAACCGATCCTAGCGGATGATCACATATGAGTTTTTCGATTCAACTCTTTCGCGTCCTTTGAGAAAGGTTGGAACGACGTGCAATAAATGTAAATTTCCCCTTGATGCGTATTCGACAATGGGGATTCCACTCCTCCTATGAATAGGGAAATTGTTTATTGCCCAACGCGTGGAGTAGAACCGAAAGCAATTGCTATGTGTCTGTCTTTGTCGTAAACAGTTATTCTGGCCAACAAATTACAGCCACTGCGGGTCGATTGGATATTTTATCGATACTTCTTGACATTGAACCCCAGCCATTGGATACCTACTGTTGCTGTGTTATTATGATATGTCACACGAGAAGAAATCGAAAAAAGCCTAGACGATTTGGTCTAGGTTCGATTATAGTATTATGACGTGGGATGCAAGGCTAACTGTAAAATAGTTTACTGCCTAAACATTTTAAAAACAGTTGTCAACACCGATCCAGCTGGATCGGAGTGATTGAGTGATAGTATTTTCAGGACTGGCAGTGTCTATAGAAATAACTTTGTCGGATTAAGATACTCGTCATTTAATCAGTGATGGACTCCAAGGGGTGAGTGGTGATGACTAACTGAAGTAGCGAGTGGCGGCACAATCTCTCAGCTGTGTTTGATGAATAATGTGCGTCTTTTGCAGTGAGTTACAAATACAGTGATCTCTCCATTTATGCGGTGGGTAGTACCGTCCACCCACCACTGTTTCTCGGTTATCCTTCAACCAATTACGCTGATTTTTTGAATGTGATTTGTGTCAACCTTTAATTAGTTATCCACAAAAATCAGCTCCATTGGTTGAAGGACAGCAGAGAAATAGAAATGGGTGCACGGTAATAAAATATTGTGAAATTATTGCAACAGTGAAATGAATATATACTGAAACCTCCGTTTACGAAGACTTTTTTTTACGCAGTATTCAATTTACGTCCCTCTTTTTACGAAGTAAATCCCAAATAAGGGGCTGTTCATAAACTACGTAGACAGTTTTTTTTGGGATTCTTGACCCCCCTCCCCCTGCGTAGACAATTGTCCATACAAAAATTTTAAAATTTGTATGGGCTGTGGATAATTTTCAACCGACCCCCACCCCCCCTAAACTGTCTACGGAGTTTATGAACAGCCCCTAACGAGGTTTTTTTTTACGAAGTAAATCCCAAATAACGAGTTTCCTTTTTACGAAGTAAATTCCAAATAACGAGTTTTCTTTTTACGAAGTAAATTCCAAATAACGAGTTTTTTTTTGTGATTTTGGGAAACTGGGATATACTGTGAAATACCTCACAATATGGGTATTGTTGGAATCGAAGTGACGTGTAGGGACCGGAAATCGATGTCTGACGCCATTTTAAAATCCAAGATGGCGGCTTCCGGTTACAGGAAAACTTGAACATTCTGCCTAATACCCCACAATATGGGTATTTTTGGAATCGGATTGACGTTTAGGGATCAAAAATCGATGTATGATGCCATTTTGAAATCCAAGATGGCGACTTCCGGTTATAGAAAAACTTGGAAATTCTGCCAAATACCCCCACAATATGGGTATTTTTGGAATCGGAGTGACGTGTAGGGACCGGAAATCAATGTCTGACGCCATTTTGAAATCCTAGATGCAACTTCCGGCTACATAAAAACATGGAAATTCTGCCAAATACCCCACAATATGGGTATTTTTGAAATCGGAGTGACGTTTAGGGATCAAAAATCGATGTATGATGCCATTTTGAAATCCAAGATGGCGACTTCCGGTTATAGAAAAACTTGGAAATTCTGCCAAATACCCCCACAATATGGGTATTTTTGGAATCGGAGTGACGTGTAGGGACCGGAAATCAATGTCTGACGCCATTTTGAAATCCTAGATGCAACTTCCGGCTACATAAAAACATGGAAATTCTGCCAAATACCCCACAATATGGGTATTTTTGAAATCGGAGTGACGTTTAGGGATCAAAAATCGATGTATGATGCCATTTTGAAATCCAAGATGGCGACTTCCGGTTATAGAAAAACTTGGAAATTCTGCCAAATACCCCCACAATATGGGTATTTTTGGAATCGGAGTGACGTGTAGGGACCGGAAATCAATGTCTGACGCCATTTTGAAATCCTAGATGCAACTTCCGGCTACATAAAAACATGGAAATTCTGCCAAATACCCCACAATATGGGTATTTTTGAAATCGGAGTGACGTTTAGGGATCAAAAATCGATGTATGATGCCATTTTGAAATCCAAGATGGCGACTTCCGGTTATAGAAAAACTTGGAAATTCTGCCAAATACCCCCACAATATGGGTATTTTTGGAATCGGAGTGACGTGTAGGGACCGGAAATCAATGTCTGACGCCATTTTGAAATCCTAGATGCAACTTCCGGTTACATAAAAACATGGAAATTCTGCCAAATACCCCACAATATGGGTATTTTTGAACATCTTTGCCTGGGATGGATACAAGTCGTACAAAGCAAGTAAACATCCGAACCGGCACATGTAGCAGAATTCCGAGGCCAAAAAGCATGCAAGGCTCTTGTGCGCCGGTGTTTTGACGAAACACAAGAACTGCACTTTGATCGATGAAGAAACATACGTCAAACTCGATTTTAAGCAGCTTCCCGGTCAAAAGTTTTACATCGCGACTGGACGTGGCAATGTGTCGGGAAGATTCAAATTCGTGTTTGCCGACAAGTTCGCGAAGAAGCCCGTGATTTGGCAAGCGATTTGCAGTTGTGGCCTGTGGTTTATGAAAAGTGTGTATTGCCGTTCTTCCGCAAGCATAGGGGCAAAGTCATCTTTTGGCCCGATTTGGCCAGTTGCCAACACTCCAAGGTGGTTCTGGAATGGTATGCTGCCAACAAGATTGATTTTGTCCTCAAGCTAATGAATCCTCCAAATTGTCCGGAAGTTTTTTATGTTCGACTTTCGGGACTTAAAACTTGTTCAACTTGGAGAAATTATCAAGGTTTGAAACTAAACGATTTAATTTTGAATTTGCGCTTTCAATATTTTCAAGAATTTGATTTTTTGATAGTGACATTTTTTAGACTGTAAAGAGTCACCAACGCACATTGCATCCGGATCTGATCCGACGCGGCAAATGAGCAGTTGTTCCACACCAAATGACGAATCTGAAAAACTAGATCGATTTGCATGAAACTTTGCATAATTGTTTGTTATGGGAAATGCTTCACTTTTTGTTAAATTCGGCCATTTTGGATGTTGTGAAATTTTCAAAATGGAACACTTCATAATTTGCAGACTTTCTCATGAATATTATAACAATTCTGGAACCTTACGCCTTCAACTCAGTGTCTCTTCCACAGCTGTTAATTCAGAGTTTTCAAAACTATACCAATTTGTGTGTTAGTATAGGGTAACCGAGCCACTACTGTTACAGTTTTCACCCAGAGCTTAAATCAAATTTGAAATGAATGTCCATGGTGTTATTCACCTGACATATGTATGACAAAATATATGTTTAAACCATGTATCGAGATACATTTTGTGACCTGTATTAAGAAAGAGAGAGAAGGATTTTTAATTTCCATTCAATTCCACTACCTTATTTGCTTATCCTTTACAGATACGCGTATTTCGTCTATAATGTGCAGACTTCTTCAGTGTCTTGTACCATATGCGTGATAATGTTTGCACCATCGTACAAATAAGGTTCCCGTTTCACCTGTGCATACAATGCCTTGGTTTTCTTTGCATGCACGTAACCTATAGCACATACCGTAGCAGGCTGTGTATAAAAGAAAATGATTTACTTAGTTTGACAGTTGCACCATGACGAAGTGGCAGCGTATTCGTGATTTGTCCCACGCGCAAATGTCGCAAAAAGACATTTCAATCGCCGTGGGAGTGTCCCGGTGGACCGTCAAAAGGGTTTTAGACCGAGAAAAGAAAGGACAACTATCCGCGAAGGTGGCCACAGTTCGTCCGAGGTCAGCTCGGGTTCCAAGGGTTATCGCTGCTATCAAAAGGAAGATTCGGGTGAATCCAGTGCGCTCAATAAGGAAAATGGCAAAGGAACACGGGATCAGTGACTTTACGGCACGGAAGATCGTAAAGGAAGATTGCGGGGCGAAGTCGAGGACACGGAAAAAAAAACTCACATGATTACCAACCGCATTCGGGAGCTACGAGTCGAACGATACAAGAAAATCTTGAACTTTCTTAAGCGAAAAGAGCCGGTAATCCTGTTCACCGACGAGAGCATGTTTACCGTCAATCCCGTCTCAAATTCCAGAACCGACCGGTATATTAGTTCTCTTCCGGTAAAAGACGTGGCCGACGAGCACAAGAACGTGTATCTGACCAAGCATCCTGCTAGCGTTATAGTGTTTGGATTGGTGGCTTCCGATGGCAAAAAATGGACCCGGTGTTCATTCCAGAAGGCGACAAGGTCACCACGGAGGACTATATCGGGATTTTAAGTAAGTATGTTCTTTCGTGGATCAAAGAACAGTACGGTCCGAAGCCAAATGTTGTATTTCAACAAGATGGGGCGCCATGCCACACCTCGAACCGCACTCAGAAGTGGTTGCAGGAACATCTTCCGTTCTGGGCGAAGGATATGTGGCCGCCATGCAGCCCCGATCTTAATCCGCTGGATTACTCAATATGGCGCGTCATGAAGGGCAAGGCCTGTTCTAAACGCCACCCGAGTACAGCAAACCTCAGACAAACATTGACCAGTACCTGGAGAGAAATGGATCCATACTACATTATTAGAACTTGCCGTGAATTCCGGAAGCGTGTGGCGGCTGTAATTGCAGCAAGTGGAAACTCGATCGATGATTAACATAGTTTAAGACTTTGAGAAACATCCCCCCCTTTGAATATTTGCTCATTGCTCAATGGTACAAACATTATCACACATACGGTACTGATACTCGACTGTTATTAGTACAAGACACTGAAGAAGTCCGCTCATTGTAGATGAAATACGCGTATCTGTCAAGGATAACCAAGTAAGGTAGTAGAATTAAATGGAAATTACTAATCCTTCTCTCAGTCTGTATAGAAAAAATATGTGAAATTTATGGAAGGATCAATAAGATAACCACTAATGCCAAAAACTGGCACACTTACCTCACGATTAATATGCATCAACACATTTCATCATCGCTGTGACACACGAGATGCCACCTACGTTCACCTCTCTAATCCCCGAACTAATGCTTTTATTGAGCATGAAATCGTTAATAAGCGTGCAATCGGTTTCACGAACAATCTCATCCATCTTCATCCAACCGCACAAACGCTCATCCAAAATTCACGCTCAATCCAGCCCTTTTCTCTCTTTTGTAGTGACGACAGCGGTGGATTCGGCTCGACGGGCAGCGATTTCACGTCACTCTCGACGGCCGGCAGTGTTGGTAGTGGTGGTGGAGGTGGTTCTCTGAATTTCCCATCGATTTTTCAACAATCGGTCGGCGGCAATCAGCTGATTGGAGCCGATCAAAACAATTGCGATTTGAATGGCAGTGGAGGTGGTACCGCTGGAGGGGACTGCAAAGGCAAGGGCCGCAAAAAGCTACGATTGCTGAAACCGAAGCTCAAGCAGCTGCACGATATGGAAGTGCTGCCAGTCGAGTACATGGGGCCGAAGATCGAGTATACGTATGTAATGTGTAAAGGGCGAGTGGAATAAATTGCACCCGTAGGGGCTGGGAGCAAGATGCACCGTGGTTGTTAATTTTGCATGGCACGAATTGCACTCCGTAATGAATTTATTATCTAGGATCTAAGGTGCTTCTGTGGAAAGCTCGAAATGGAGAGGCGAAGTGAGATTTTGAATGACTTGGTTGGTGGACGAATGAATGAACGAGGGGCAGATTAGCGTTAATGGGCTTGAATCACGCAAATCTTTCGTTTGTGGGGGGGGGGGGTGAGCATGAACTGCACGAAAAAGCTTTCGTTTCGTTTAGATTATGACTCCCAACTGTAGGTGGTGGTGAAGGGATGGCTCGTTGAAAGCTTTCGGTGAAACTTTTCGTTGAAAGCTTATGTGCTGAATAGCGCGCAGTAGATGATACACGGCTGTTCAACCTAACTCAGTGACTGAGTTAAATTCGATGGCTATCTCTTTTTCTCTCACGGAAATTTTACTCAATTTTCTTCAAAACTGGAGTTACGCAGAGCTCTGTGTAACTAGTATTTATGATAATTGAGTAATATTTCCGTGAGAGAAAAGAGATAGCAATACAATACAATTATACTCAGTCACTGAGGTAAATTTAATGGTCGTGTATGGAGGGGAAAGCAGACTTGTTTTATGTATTGTACTTGTTTGGTTGCTACGTCCCAACTGGAACTTTACGACCTGTTCCCACTTAATATTTATTGAGCACTTCCACGGCTGTTAAATCAAGCTGAACATTACATTAAGTCCTAAGTAACATTGATCGATGCTCGTCGTTGACTTTCTCTTTCGTTAATAACATGAGCACATAACCGTTTCTTGTTGTGTTTGTCATATTGGATGCTATATAAAAGATTCTTTTATCGATCTGTGTGCTGAAAAAACCTGGGAATGGTTTTACATGGCCGTGGGATGCAAAGAGAAAGTCGACGGAGAAAATCTGTGAATTTTACCTAATGCAATGTTCAGCTTGAAAATTCGAGGTTTCTAATCCTACACGGACGATCAGACAGACATAAAATTAAGTAGAGTTGACTCAATTTCGTCAGAAGCGGATTTACTCCAAAGTGAGATAAATTTTCCGGGCTTTTCCAGGAAAAACTCATTATACTCCTAATAGCGAGTAAAATTTTCAAGAATTTTGCTCATATTCGAGAAGCTCAGAAAATTCAACTCAATTTTTGAGCATTCCACTTTTGACTAAATTGAGTCGAATCGTCCCAATTTTCCGTTAGTGCGGAAGTCGAGAACATTTCCAACCAGAAAAAGTTTCTCGTCTGCATGGTTTGCTAGATAATAAATGTTCGCTTAATACTTGCGACATTCGGGATAAGCTTAGTGTGCCAATAGGATAGTTTAGCCATGTATATACAATGCTAAACAACACGAAAATCAAATTAGGGTATTTTCCACATTAACACCCTTCATCATTGCGATACAACAACAAATCACTTACCGCATTCGTTTCACCAATTTACTTCATCATCCTAGTCTCCTAGTTTTCCATCGCTCCTTGGCCCAGCACAAAAAGGTGTGTAAATAACTCTTCAACACGCTACAAGCCCCCGTCTTGCTGGTTGACTTCCAACGATGATTCTTTGAAAAACGATTTTCCACTCTTCGCCATTCTCCGAAATTGAATGACTGGTAGCACGACAAAGTTGCTCCTTTCCAGAACCGTCGGAGCCTCATCGCTCTCTTGGGGTTGTACCTATGTTGGAAGTGTGAACTACACGAACCTAACCAAAGTTTGATTTTTCTGCTTTGCATGTTACAAATTGTTGCTTTCGCACCCTAAGTTAGGTGTGTTCCTTGTAGCACTGATGCTAATGGGAATTTGTTTGATTAATATTCTCGGAAGTAATCAGTTATTCTCTCGGGGTATGAGAATGTGTTGGTCGGCTGCGTACTGTATTGGAAATTCAGGAAAATCAAATAACCCATGACGCGACTGATACTTACCGAGGAAGTGTAGGGGTAATCTGATTCCCGCATGCAGCCACCGCTACTTTGCAGATATTGGAGAGTATACCGCAAAGAACCTCCAGCGCATCCCTAGGGATAAAAAACTCATTTCTATCAGAAACCACCCGAGAGCTAAGACATTTTGAACCAACCTGATTTCCGGTGCTGGTGGAGCAATCCACCATCTGCTGTTGACTGACGTACTCGATCCTATTGATGCGTCTCATGATCTGTGCATCGATTGCATACGATATGCTGAAGGCGTAGCAGGAACCGCACGTTTTCTGATTGACCGTTTCCGTTTTGAAGCCTTTGTCTCGCCAATCTAAACTGTCCGGCATGCCGGTAGCACTGGCCCCGAGCATTGCTTCCGGCATGTTTCGGGTTGCCTTAAGCATATCATCGTTGAACTTGACGTTCATACGACGGTGGTCGACCTGGGGCTTCATTCGAGTCATTTTCTTCAGGTAGGTTGTCCGATCCTAGCGGGAAAAGGTTGCAAATAAAAATCAGTTCGACTGAACGGTGTTGAAGGATTTGGAATTCTAACTAATTCGGTATATTAATTTTTTCTATGTTTGCATCATAACAAGTTACGATCATAGGCGTTTTAAATAAATTATTCTTCAAAGGGACACCAGTCTGGACCAGTGGTTGGATCATTTAAACCAGTGTTGGCAAAATCAGAAATCAATTGATATTTTGCCGCTCTCATGCGCTCGAAATATCACGCGTGCTATTGGAACAAAATATCATGCTTGATATTGATTTTACAAGCTCCTTTGATATTGCGAGACTATTCACAATGTGCAAAAATCAAGCTGAGAGTTGACTCGACGCAAAAATGATTCCATTGTACATCGTTTTTTTTTAGAAAGAGAAAACATAGTTTGCTATCTCTTTTAAATCCTCACCGATGGCAGACGCGAAGGGACTGCTGCAAGCCGTTATGGAAGTTTCGGTTGCATTCGGGTGTAAAGCAAAAATCATTAAACTCAATCTCACCACAGTTTGGTGAGATTTGCAGTTGGTGAGTTTTGTTAGCTTGATATTCCGAGCTGCGATATCACAGCTTGCAATATCAACCGCAGTTGTTTGCTTGTTGATTTTTGTCTATGAAAATCAAGCGTGATCTTGGGCGTTGGTGAGATTTGATTTTTTGATATTTTCCCAACACTGATTTAAACAATAAATCGTTAATCAAAGCAGATAAGGGGCTGTTCATAATCTACGTAGACTGATTTTAAGAGGTTTTTTACACAAGAGTGATGAGAGATGAGTCTCCTTCCACCCCATCGCTTGTTATCAAGATCATCACGCCGTTCGCTGCGAGGAAAATGTTTTTGCACGACAGCAGAATAGTAGTAAAATTACATTTATTTATGTTGATTATGATTACATTGTGGTTTCTATGAATATTTAGACTTTCTCGACGAAATGTAGAAGCTGCCAATATTTTCTGTTGCTTTTGAAACTATTACCATTTCAGCTTTACCTTGTCATTTTCGCGCGCAAACAGGTTTTCACCAGTAGGGTTACCATATCAAAAACTTGAACAAGAGGACATTTAATTTGAGGTTTAGAGACTAAGGAGGATGATGATTCCCTTTCTTAACATTAAATGACGACAATGAGTTTTATCAAACGTTTCAATAATATGTGCGCTATCACAAAATTCATGAATTGGAAAGGTTCAATTGAGATTGTTCATAACTTTTAGTCGACACCAATTCAATTCATCTCGTTATGCTTCTGAAAAATGCATCAAACTTGCCTTCATAATTTATTTTTGATCCTTGGAAATGATCTAGGCTAGTTGATTTGCATGAAAACTACAGCTAACTTTTATCGTGTACAAAAATCAGGATACATTTGATTACGGCACAAAAGTTTTTGTAAACAAAAGTTGTAAGGCCCGTTACACGTGAACCAAAGAACGCCCACGTAAACTAACAGTATCATCGGCTGGGGGTAATTTTCCCCTTTTCGATAATTGTATTGCTTTGCGTTGGCGTACTTCGATTCGCGTGTAAAGAGCCGTTATCAGATGTTACACCTGACATGTCATCGCTTATTGATACCAACATGGAACATCTAAGCATCCTGTTAATTTTACCATTGATTCAGCATAGGACTCTACGGCCGCTGCCATAGAGGGAGCGAAGAGGCGCGCTTAGCGTTCTATACAAAATACTTCATAATATTGATATTATTCCTTACATTCGATTTAACGCATCGCGTGCCTCTTCGGCCTCAATATGGCAGCGGCCTTAATAAAATACCTAAAATCCTATTGAACCAGAACGTCAAAATCTAACACATGTTAGATTTAATCTGTGTGGCTGTGTTCCATTTGGTGAATTTTAACTTAAATTTGACAGATAGGAAATTTTCAAATAAACCTGCTATTGTACCAGACTTATTTCTGGCAGACCAGGAATCAATTTTGACAATCATCTTCTCGAAAACATAATAATTTATTTTCGGAATGTCAAATTTTAGTAAAATAAATTATAATGTTCGAAAATCCCTCTGTTGTTGTACGATTTTCGAGAAATTGTTTGTCAAATTTGATTCCTGGTTTGTCTGAAATAATTCTGGTAAAATAACAGGTTTATTTGAAATTTTTCCATCTATCGATTATAAGTTATAATTCACCATATGAACCGCAGCCTTAATGTAGGGGGGTTGACAGCTGTAGTATACTCCTAGTCCCACCATCGAACGGCATTTGCTAGGTTGCGACATAATTAAATAAATAAGCTATGCAAACAACGCTCTTTGAAAACAATTTTATGAATATGTTACTGAAAAAAAATGCAAGGTTTAAAAGGAGGACGTTTTCGGGTAAAAGAAGGATGTAGAAAAATTATTGAAAAAGGAGGACATGTGTTTTGCTTGAATTGAAAAATCCGATAACAAACCTAACTAAGAGTATAAATTAACCTAACGTGCTAGATCACTTCTAATGTCTGAATTCCAGCCAGGAGGTGGATCTCAGAATTTTGAGTCCGCGAGGGATTGTTAAGGATCACCCTTTGCAGTTTAAGGTGATGGCATTTGGAACAACTCTCCCAGGTTTATAATGAGAGAGAGAGAGAAGGATTAGTATTTTCCATTTAATTCCACTACTTTATTTGCTTATCCTTGACAGATACGCGTATTTCGTCTACAATGTGCAGACTTCTTCAGTGTCTTGTACTAATACTCGACTGAAGAAAAACATCGCATTTACCGAAATTATATTAACACAGGTACATTTTCACTTAGAAACTAGGTAAACTTAAATTTAATTTTCTATAGGAACAGGTACTCCGCTGCTTACTTGTTGATGTGTCCTAGGTAGTAACTTGAAAAGTCATGTGTGTCAAGTTACTACCTAGGACACATAAACGAGTAAGCAGCGGAGTACCTGTTCCTATAAAAAATTAAATTTAAGTTTACCTAGTTTCTTATGGTACCAATGTAAACAAGAGTATTAAAATAAAAATCAAAAGATCGATCTACCAAAGATCGATTCTTTAGTACCGATTCAATCAGTGGATCGATTCTAGAGCCAAATATAAGATCGATCCGTCAAGATCGATCTTTCTTTGAAAGGAGGACAGCAATCAATGAGGTACAGAGAGAGGTGAAGCAGATCGTGAAATATTGTTGTATTAGTAAACCAAAAAATCAACGTAAACGCAAGTAGTGACGTCACTAATTGTTTGTATCGTACAGGGGTTTTACTCACACAACTTAACCGATTGCTTTACCTCGGTAATCCAGCTCATTGGACAGTAGTAACAGCATGAATACTCCTCGCTCTAGGCACTTAATATAAAGGTGACACACAAGGAAGAGGTGTTTGTTTGTTTACTAAAATGATCCATGCAGATTGTATATAAAGATTAGTGACGTTTAACGCACGCACACTAGCGGGTGCACCGGCGTGTAAAGTTGTTTATTATTTTCCTGTGGCTAACCTAAAAAATGTATGAAATTAGATCTGCCGAAATGAGTTTGACAGCGATTTGTTATGTAGTTTCCTCCGATTTTCACTAACACTTTCTCACATATCGCACCAATAAAACCGGATGTGAAAATCTCTATGGCGAGTTTTGTTATAATCAATGCTCCTCGTGTTTATTCGCGTAATTCTTATCAAAGATTAATCACTTTCGTAGGAAATCAATTTGGCAAGGCATTTGTGATCGTATGGCCGCATGAAACAGGTTCAAATCAGTCCAAATCAACGCTTTTTGTTTTTTGCTGTTAATGGCAAAACAGTGAAATTTTCAAGAGCATCAACGGCAAATAACTCACCAACACTAGCGGACCTTGAGTACCTAATCACCTTCCATCTTGCTCCTCGCTCGTTGGTCACTCACGGAGACTCACATCAATGCATCGCTCGCATCGCTCGGGAATGCTTGCTTTGATTCGTTCTTTCGAACGCGTTCGGAGACGTAGAGTGGTTTCGAGGCGTACAATGCGAATAAAGTGATTTTTTGGTACTAAAATACCGGTACTGGTACGTGAAAATACCGATATTTCAAGCTGAACATTGCATTAGCTCCTAAGTAACATTGATCGATTTTCTTCGTCGACTTTCTCTTTCGTTAATAGCTTGAGTACATAACCGTTTCTTGTTGTGTTTGTCATATAAGATGCTAGATAAAAGCTTCCTGTTCTACTTGGCTACAGGAACCTCCATCATTCGTCCCATCATTCGTCCCATCATTCGTCCCATCATTCGTTGAGTCGCAGCGTTGAACCTGACTATTGGCCACGAAAAGGCTTGCCAATGCACACCAAAAATCGACTACATACATTCGAACATTTCTTTATCTCAAATCGACGGAAGACATTCCGCACAACTACCATAAACCGGACTAGTTCTTCGTCAAGCTTCGTCTACAATTTGAACTTCTACATCAACACATGTCAGGCAGCCTTCAGGTTCAATTGGCTAAACTTGGTGAGTTCGTTCCATTTTGTTAATTTTTTTCTCTTCCAACCAGTAACGTTGGGAGATCACCTTTTTGTGGTGCGTTACTGGTATCACACACTTAGAAATAATTAATTTTACACGTGATGGAATCCATCTTTGACATAAAAGATGAGACGTAAACAAACATATCATGTAATATTAAGTGCTCCGAGACTGAAAAGTTCGTTGCTCGACGAAAAGTACGTTTGTTTTAGTTGAGTTTTGCGTCTATTACGACTCAATTTTATGTCAAAATTGACGCTCGTATATGTCAGTCTCATAGCACCTAAATTTACAAGAATTTTTCCAAGGGTGCAGATCTACCACCGAACCCTAGTCGTGACAACTTCAAACTAGGGAATCAGGATTTTCCAGTAATCAAAGGATTACATTTTTATGCTTGTTTCTTTTTATGACTTGATAATAGTGACTTCTTTTATCGATCTGTGTGCTGAAAATATCTGGGAATGTTTTCATATGACCGTGGCGATACAAAGAGAAAGTCAA